TTGCAGCTGAGTTGTGTCGCTCGTTCACCACCGCTGAGCACTGCAGTTGGGAGACCCGCTTGACATTGATCGAAGGTACGAGTTCCTCATCGAAAGGTTGACTCGAATCGACAAAAAGATCATGATCACCTCAGTTCTCGAAACACTGCAAACGCACATAGAAACAGTCGGCTCAGGAAACGTCACTTTGATCGCGATGAAGAGCTTCTCGACACCGTCTCAGCTGATCGCAAGGTTCCAAGGGAGCCTATTCGAGTCCGTTTTTCATCGAGCCACAATGTTTGACGTGGCAGCTCTCTCAGTGAATGCTATCGCCATTGTGGACAGAAATTACCTCAGAAGTCAGCCTGAAGACAAGAAGCCTCTTTGCTTGTTGTTTAACAAGCCTTTGTTCAAACACCTACAGTTTCTTGGACCTTTCACCTTGCCGTTCCATCACCTTCCTTCTCATCGTGGGAATTGAGTTAACAGCAAACCAATGTCAGAGTGTGTGTGTGTGTGTGTGGTGTGTGTGTGTGTCTGTCACCACCTGTTTTCCAAGGTTTCCGTACGTTTGATTTCCCAAAGCAAAGAGAAAAGAAAACAGAGAAACAAAGAGGAGATGTTGCAGGTGGGCAGTGAATCTCACTCCATCCACTGCCCAACGAAGACGGTGGTTTGAGATTGTGAAATGACTCCGGGATGCCGGAGTCACGTACCTGCAAGTTTTTTCAGGCCTTTCTAAAGTGCTAACGAGCTGTCATCGTTTCACCCATGTTCAACATTTCTGTTACTCCGACCCAGCATTCTTTCGGTTCTTGCAAGTCAAGGTCTACTGCACCGGTAATGTACTCACTAGAGTGGAACTTCGTCAACTGATCCAACTCTTGCGAGCAACGTTCTAAGTGTGTGTCGCCACAGAGTCCCACTGAGGGCTGTGATGTGATCCCCATCGAGGGGCGCTGCATGGCATAGACCCAAATCTGGGGGACTCCCACTGATTTCTCCCTCGTTCCTCCTGTGAACTTCTCTCTGATTCTCACTAGCTTGCGTGATTGCAGGAGATTGCCGATTGAACGCCGCAGGGCTTACTGAGATTGAATGCCGCAGGGCCCACTGACTTCCCTGCGCATGTGCGACCCACGAAACGACACGAAACGAACTCCCTAGACATGGATTTGTTGAACATGTTTTCAACGTTGCTACGAATGCTGATTCCAGAGGCATTTGTTGAACATTTTATGTTTGTAGAACATTTTCTTGTATCTTCTTCCCACCCACCCAGCCAACTTCATCAGGATTCCATGGTGATTTGCTGCTGTACACAAGCGAATTCTGGTTTGGGAAGATGTTGTGTGATCAGATTTCC